ACGCAGGTTACGCTGCATGCGAGAGCACCTTAAGGTCCATGGGTTTTCGGGAGGTGGCGCGTAAGCGGCATTGGAACACCCCTTGGGTTTAAAATGTCGACGTGTAACATGTAGTCGACACTGACAGGCGGTGGTAAAGCTCGTCGCAGAGAGAAAAGAGAAAACAGAGAGAAATGGAGTATTTTAAAAGCAGCCTGAAGTCCGTCTTGGGAACCGCTCCCGCCGGTACGCAACCAACGGGTGCCGATACGGTGAGTGGAAACGACGAACCTTGCACTTTTCATACGCCGAAGGTTACTTGCCAGTGTTTTGGACAATTGCCATGCGTCCCTACGAGGTGACGTCGCTGATCATCCACTGCGATCGTATCGGTCCAGTCTCAGGCTCGAGCTTCATAATGGAGAAGAAGAGGTTGCCGACTAACCTCCTTGCCGGCAAAACTTAACTTACAGGTAGCTTATGATGTGCCATTCCTCTTACGACATTTGTGCTCTACGATACAGGTGGAGAGACTAGTTGACAGGCTGCAGTCTTCTACTTTGCTCGACGACAGAAGGGATGCATGCCGCGCGCTCAAGGCGTTGTCCCGCACTTACCGCGTGGAAGTGGGTGCTCAGGGAATGGACGCGCTCAGGCAGGTGCTGGAGATGGACAGAACGGATTGCGAGATAATCGGCCTAGCCCTGGACACTTTGTGCAATATAACAAATCCCGAGACGTTTGACGAAGAGGGTGAGAAGACCAAGTGCCTTCGACTGTGGCACTTTTCAATTTCACATCTAATCGCCCCGTGTTATTTCAGTGGATAAACACGGCCCCAAGAGTCAGATAGGCGAACAGTTTACGGAAATATTCATCAAGCATCCGGACAGCGTCGGTTTGGTGCTGACGTTTCTCGAGGAGTTTGACTTTCGTGTCAGGTGGCCGGCGCTGAAGCTGCTGACGCACTTGCTGGCAAACAGATCTAAAGATATTCAGGAAATAATCCTAGTCAGTCCTATGGGTGTCTCTAAGCTGATGGATTTGCTGAGCGACAGCAGAGAAATCGTACGCAATGACGTACGTTAAATTTAATTTTGAGCAGACGCTTCTGAAATGTAAAAACCCGCGGTGCACTTACGACGTGTTATTTATATTTTTCGCGTAGGTTTTGCTGCTGCTTATCCAATTGACAAAAGGCAACGCTAATATACAAAAGATAGTGGCGTTTGAAAACGCGTTCGATCGCATATTTGATGTTATCGACCAAGAGGGCAACGCGGATGGCGGTATTGTCGTGGAAGATTGTCTCCTATTGATGTTAAATCTTCTCAGGGGAAACGTCAGTAACCAAAACTTCTTCAAGGAAGGTAACATACTCATTCCATTGGATTTCTCGAATAATTTGTCTAATTTTTGCTGTTCTGTAATAAATTTCATGTTGCGACGTGCAGGTAGCTATATTCAAAAGTTGACACCAATGTTCCAAATTCCCAACGAAACGGAGGACAACAATCTTGGCGGATGGAGTCCACAGAAGGTGTCCAACGTTCACTGCATGGTGCAGGTGGTACGGGCGCTGGTAGCGCCGAGTGCTCCTGCTCAGGTAGTTAAAAAATGCTAGCGCTGTGTTCGGTTTATAATACTTGTCTGTTGTTAACTTCGATTAAATACCGAACGATTGTTCGCGTGAAGGCTGTCGCAGCTTGTCAGCGAACTATGAGGGCGTGCGGATTGTTGCAAGCGCTGTGCGATATATTGATGGCTAGCGGAGTACCGGCGGACGTATTAACAGAGACCATTAACACTGTAGCGGAAGTAATAAGAGGGAATGCTAGTAATCAGGAATTTTTGGCGGGTGTTATGGCACCGAGCACGCCTCCAAGGTAAACCGACGTATGTTACGCACGCTCGTTTTATCTCGCACACGGCGCCGTAGCAATCAGAATAATGAACGACTTAAAAATTATATACAAGTATATCATAGGCCGGCTATTGTCGTTCTACTGATGTCCATGGTGAACGAAAAACAACCGTTTGTTCTACGATGTTCAGTATTGTACTGCTTCCAATGCTTCCTGTATAAGAACGAAGTGGGGCAGACGCAGTTAATCCAGACGTTGTTGCCGCAAGGCAACGAGGCGCCGTCGCTAACCACAGGTTTGTGGGCTTTTTATAAAATGTAGACTTCCGATTCTAGACAAACGGTCCTGACTGAAACACGAAATAACGCACGACTATTTCACATATATCTGTTGTTAGGACAGCTGTTGTGCGGCGGACTGTTTTCTTCAGATTCTCTGTCAAATTGGTTCTCCGCCGTGGCGCTGTCGCACGCCTTGATCGAGAATATAAGTCAGAAGGAACAGCTTCTAAGAGTACTCCTCGCAACTAACATCGGGAAACCGCCGGTTACGCTTATGCAACAGTGCGTGATGCTGTTGCAGCAGGGTAACAAAACGCAGTGTAAACTGGGCCTGCTGATTCTGCTTTGTCGATGGACCTCGTACTGTACGCTCGCGGTGAAGTCATTCCTGGCTATCGACTCCTCGGTGGCGTATCTAACAGCCCTCTTATCATCGCAAGAAAACAACGATGACTTACAAGAGACCCTGCTGCAGAGTATGTGCGCCTTACTTATCGGTATTTGCGTACACTTCAACGATGATAGCGTACCTACTTACACGAAGGTAAAACCAACTGATTATCGGATCTAGTATATAAAGTGCGATTAATAGAAGAAAGTCCTCTGTTATAAGATGGGTTTCTATGAGATGGCAGGTTTTCAACACTCAAATTCAATCACGAATTTTTTTCGCAACGATTACGCAATCTAACAATAAATTTTCCACCAAGCAAATTTCGCTACAAAGGCAATAAATTCATGGTGGAATCAACTGATGGTGCTTATTAATTTAACAGAAACCCTGCTATCCCATAGCAGAATGTTTAAATCTGTATATGGAATAAAGAATCGCATACGGATACTACGTGGTATCTCGATTAACAGCTCTGTATCATTTTACAGGAAAAAGTGTGCAATTTAATTGAAAATAGAATTGGTTTGGAAAAGTTTCAAGATGCGATTGGTGGTATCGCCAGACATGAAATATACTCTCGAACGTTAAAACATCCACAGCCGTCAGCTAAAGCTCCGTCGGAACTTTTACTCGATCACGAGTTTTGCAGGCTGCTAAAAAGTTTGGAAGGTACTTAGATGTCAAATATCTAAATTTTTAATAATGATAAAGAAAATTAATATCGTTTGTTTCGTTTTAACACCAAGTGAGATTTTCTTCTTCCCAGGTGTTATAATAAAATCGGTGATAGAGGCCAATAATGAACAGCAGAACAAGAATCAATTGTCTGTGATGAACTTACCTGATAATACACTGGTTTCACAATATAAAGATCTTATTAGAGAACAGGATATACAAATTCAAAGGTTAAATCAAGCCAATGATTTTCTTACAAAAGAGAAACAAGAACTTGAGGTAGTAAACGAATTTCTCTTTAAAGAAAAACATATATAAATAGAATATATTTTTCAAAAAGTTTTTATCGCAGGTACAAGTACAAGAACTTCGATCGACCGTCAGTCATCTACGAGATCAAAATTTGGTACTACGAGCTGCACAAGCTAATATAGGGGACGGAAAAGAAACAATTGCTTCTAGTAATAATGTAGATTTCGAAAAAGAATTGCAGACGTATAAAACGATGGTTGCAGATTTAGAAAATCGTTTAGCGGAAACGCACATAACGCAACAGCACAATGAGAGGAGCAAAGATAACAAAGAATCAGAATTAGAGTCTCAATTAAAAATGAAGACGGATGAACTTGAGGCACTGAAGAAGGATCAAGAGGATCTTTTAGAACTCTTGACAGATCAAGATAATAAAATTACGCTGTATAAAGAAAGATTGATTGAATTAGGGGATAAGGTATGTTTTATAAAACTTCTTCGTATAATATGTGATAAGTAAAATGTGCCTTCTTTTTTTAGGTAGAATCTGATGAAAGTTCGGGCGAACTTGACACAGACGATCAACCAGAATCAAGCAATTAAGATGCTTTATTGACGTTCCTTGATGATAAATTAATAAAAAAATTGTTGTCAACGAGCAAATTTTTTTCTTTAGATTTTCTAAGATTTCATTTCATGTGTCATAAATAATAATGTATACATGTATCAAATAGATTTGCAAAACGCGTATACAAATACATGCACACAATTGTATAAATGAATGTTAAACCATGTTCTCAGACACTAAAATGTATAAATTTGATATTTAACGAAGAGATATTTTAAGTAAACTGAACCATATTCTAATTCTGTGTAATTGTGTTCCAACATACATATATTCAGGTGCTCAACAAGTTTGTAAAAGAAAATGATAAATTGTGAAAGCAGACTGCACGTGAACTAAAGAAATTGTCGTTAAACATTCCTATATATACTTACATATAATTTTATATCCAGACTTTAACAAACTATATTTATAGAGTTATCCAACAAAAAATGTATTTATTATATTTATTTTAAATAACTTATTCTACTACCTACAAATGTACAATTAATAGGACTGACGGGGACAACATTTGTAAATTCCCATTTTCAGCAGTTTAATATACAGAGCTCTATAAATACATCTTGAAGCTTCTCTTTAACGCTCCTGTAAATTTTTGTGACTGGCTGCGGGATGTCATAATATCTAGCCAGTAATATCAAGTAACTAGCAGGTGAGAATTTTATCCAGTGCAACGGTTCACACTGCGCTTTGCCGTTGTTTCATGACCGCCTGAACACACTTCGCCATGGTTAAAGACGCTCGCGATACTACGTCGGTCATGAAGAACTGATCTAGCGTCTTATGTTTGATGTCCACAGAATCTGATAAGAATGATCCTCCGGACTGTTGCTATATAACAACATATAAGGGATAATATTGTTATCCTCACATTTAAGAAGTTTGTCTAATCAAGATACAAACCTTGGCCATCTCCAAAGCTTGTTTGAAGTAATTAGCTGATTCCACATCGCCATATCTGACTAGATGAGGCGCAACTTCTTCAAGCCTGAATCTTACGTCGTTCAGATTGTCGTACGGCAAAGTAACCCCAACCATCTATAACAATTTAACAAAAAAATATACAATTATTATTTTCAATGATTTCTTGACGATCGGACATTTACAGAAGATTTTGCAATGCGAATTTACCTCGGAAAGAGCGCGAATAATTTTCCAATCTGGACGGGCTAAGCCAGGTGGTGTAATTGCCGCGCACGTTTGTTGGGAGCGGCCTTCGGTGTTGACGTAACTTGCGACTTTTTCGGTGTACGCTGCTCCAGCCAATACAACGTCCGCAATGGCTGCTCCAGCATCACCGTGACTTCCTAAAATCATGAACGATGATTATAATTCACGATTAAAAATTACAACTTAATATTCATGGATAAATATAAATACTATTAATTTAAAGCAGAAAAATTTAAACAGCTGTTAGCATTGTTATATGCATACCTATATAAATGATACATGTGTTTGGGAAATCTTCTTTCTTAATATTTGCATCGTCAGCACCCAAAAGGAACAGAACTTTCGGTTGTTGCTCCTTGATCTCTTCTATAGTCGAGCCATAACCGATATCTAAAGCAGCGACTTGAGACGCGTTTGTATGCAGTACGTTCAAGATCTTCCAATCCTGGGGAGTCTAAGGTAAAACATAATTAATAAAATTTCCACAAGATTACCACACAAAGGATTCAGTAGTAGCTCACTTTTGAGTGTTCTCCTAAAGCTTTAGCCAAAGCCTGCGTTTCATAGAGAATCTTAGCTCCGTCCTTTCGAGTTAGCTGATCAGCGCCCAGGATAACGAGTGGCTTTTTAGCCTCTTTCAGAGTCGCGCAGAACGGATGCGAGCCGTTTTGCAATTTTGTTATCACATCGAAAGACTCTCCCAAGTGCTAAGAGAAAATTACATAGAATTATTTTGTAAAATAATGTATACATATACTATTATCGCAAAATAGATAAAAGTCGGCGGTATACCTCGTGTTCGTATGTTAGGTCTACATCCGGGCCAATAAAAGCAATGGTTTGTTCGCCGTGCAGGTAGCCCTTCCTGAGACGCGTGTTTATCAGCGGGGCTTCGTATCGTGGATTTGTACCGATTAATACTACAACGTCCGCATCTTCCACCGCGGCGATAGTGTTGTTCAGAAGGTAGCTACTCCGGAGATCGATGCCGGAGCCGTCTTTCGGGTAGCTCTGTTCCGTGGCCAGTCCCTCGCTGCCCAGTTTGTTCACCAAATCTTTCATAGCGATCAGGGCTTCCGCGTCCGTCAATTTTCCAGCAATTGCAGCGCACTTGTCCGCTGGCACATTCATTAGAGGTCTAGCAGCTAATCGGCATAAAAGGTGTTATCGAACGATCCGATTACTGACGAAATATGGTGACTCTATTGAATATAGACGCGTAATAAATACTGATCAATTCTAACCAGCGATAAGTGCGTCTTCCCAATCCACAGCTTCCAACTTTCCATTGACCTTCATCATCGGCGTGATGAGTCTTTGCCTCCTGAGTCCGTCGTACGAGAAACGAGCTTTGTCCGAGAGCCATTCCTCGTTTACCTCCTAGAAAAATTATACCGTTAACTCAACGTAAGTATAATAGTAATGTATAAATGCAATAGAATTACGCTTTTTTTATATGCCTTACTGCAAATTCAAGTATCGAAGTATTTACCTCATTAACTCTTGGTAGTATTCTCAGGACCTCTCCGGTTCTGTGAGAGATAACTATATTGCTACCAACGGCGTCGTGGACGTCAATACTGTCAGTACGACGCGTCTCCCATGGGCGAGCGACGAACGCGTATGGTTTACTAGTCAGCGCACCCACTGGACACAGGTCGATGATGTTGCCAGACAATTCGGACAAGAACATTTTCTCGACGTATGTCCCGACCTTTAAAATCGTCACGTGACTATCGTACAAGTTTTTAAGAATAACGTCGTTTAACGAAGACTAAAGCACGTGATATGGAACACCTAAATGTCTCGAGAAACCAAAATTCTCTTATACGGCAAGAGATTAAAAGGAAATAATTAACTAAATTTTCAACTCGGTCCTTCTAAGGTTTAAATCAATTACAGTGTGAACGCCTTTATTTTTTAAGGACCTGGCATAGATGAAGGTGGCCACTTGAATGATCCCGGCTGCCGTGCAATATTATAACACGTGAATTCACCGACGACAATGATTCCATCTAAGGGGGAAAAAAACCCGTGTGGGTCCGTTTGCAACGGTGCAACAGGATGGAATAAATATTCACGGCACAACGGATTCACATGATAATTCAAGTGGCCACCTCCATCTGTGCCAGGTCCTTAAAAAGTAAAGGAAATGATTAATCTTTTTTTCTTTTCCGTTCGAACTTTTCCACGTGTGCAAGCGAATGATTATATTGCAGATACATGTAAAACATTGCATTTGCCTGCATATCGTTGCCACGGCCGGTGGTTCCCAAGTCGTCGATACCAGCCACTTCCGACGCGAAGCGAATGCACCTGGTGCAATGTATGCAGCGTGTCATAACTGTCTTGATTAGCGGCCCCATGTCCTTGTCCTCCACCGCTCTTTTCCCAGAGAAGTTAATGTCGACGAACCTACTCCTGTCAGTTCCGAAAGCCATACTTTGATCCTGCAGATCGCACTCGCCGCCCTGATCGCAGATTGGACAGTCCAGCGGATGATTGACCAGCAGGAACTCCATGACACCCTCGCGAGCTCTCCGTGTCAAGTCGGAGTTGGTTTTCACTCTCCAGCCTTTCATCACCGGCATAGCGCACGCGGCAACCGGCTGCAAGGTAGGTTTAAAAACAAATACAGTCGATTAATCGTCGAGGCGCCTTGTTCTTCTTGGCCGACCCGCTCCGTCGCGTACCTTGACTTGCTTCTCTATCTCGACAAGACACATCCTGCAATTTCCGGCTACGGCAAGACGTTCGTGATAACAGAATCTTGGTATTTCAACTCCCACCTTGGCGGCAGCCTGGAAGGAACGTTCTCGTGTAAATCATCCACTTTTAATATTAAACACAATACACATGTTAGGATGTTTGTAAGATGTAAGTACGATGATAAGAATCTGCTTGTATCGTTTATTTGAAATTCATATATAGAGTTTTTTATGATGAAAATAAAAATGTCTTTTACACTTAACGCCAGATTTAATTTCTGAGTCTATACACAGCTCACATATGGATATGTGGAAGCTGACGACTGGGAAATCGCTGAAATTAGACAGAATGAATCGAATTACACACTTTACTGTGGAAGAGATCTACTATGTTTAGTATACAACGCAAAAGAAATTTAATAAACTCACAGATTTGTAAGAATTAATGTAAAGAAGTAAAATGAGTCTAGGAACTTGAGAAATAGATCGGAAACGGTTTTGAAATGGCCATCAAGTGAAATATTCCTCGGAGAGGATTTTGAAACGCGACCCTCGATCCAAGTGCGTGTCCTTAAACTCGTTAAAAGACAAAGTGCCGCAACCACTCTGTCCATCACTACACAACCGAGTCGTGCCAGATTCCCAACTTCTTCGCATTAATTTTTGCAAATCTACGAATTCATTACATTTCCTTCGAGTTACATACTAAAATTTATAGACTCTTCTACAGCGAGGTGTTTAATTCGCTCCGTTGTCTGCTACCATAAAAAAGCTGTTTAATTTCAGCGATTTCCCAGTTGCCAGCTGCCACATCCGAGCTGCGTATAGGCTGAGAAGTTGAATCGCGTCTCTGGTGAGAGGGGACGAGCGACGAGAGCTGAAGAGCAGAGGGAACGTGGAAAATATGCGGACGCGAACCTGCAGGACCGTCGTTCCCGGCGGCACTTGCACGGGCTTGTCGTCGATGAAGAGCTCGACCAACTCCTGCTGCGACTTGCTGGACGTCGCGTGGAAACTGGCGGCGCAGTGCCTTCCACCCGCCAGGCCTGTGGCCCGCACGACCGGTAGTCTCAACATCTCGCCACGGACTAAGCTAAGCAACACCAGTTTATTATTATGTAATAAACAAACTTTGCCGCACGGCCAATGGCGAATTAACCTAACTCGGGCAGGGGACAAGAGCGAGACGTGTCTCTCCGAAAGGGTATCATATCGCACCGCGACGAGATACCCTAGCGAGACATCTTGGCGATCGATTCGCCGAGGTTCGTTTTAACGGCGCAAGAATTGCGCAACGTAAGCCGCGGTTAAATGAAGCTATCGCGGCTGCACTCGGGGACAAGGTATATGTTACCTTCGCTGAACGTCAGAAACACCCGACGACCCGCACTGAGCCCATGGCGAGCAATGGCGAGTTCGATTTGTGGAACGTACGCACTTGTGTTGGACACTTTCGCGTCACCGTGTATAGCCCGATGACGCACGTATGTGCACGTATATGCACGTTACGCACGTCACATCCGTAAAGCCTCGTCTACACAAAAGTCGTAAAGTCGTAGTCGTAAGAATAGTCGACTGTGATTGGTCAATTCTTATGTATCTGACGGAATTGACCAATCGCAGTCGATTAGGCTGGGTCTACA